CATCTCCCAAAAACACTCTAACAGGTTGGGGTCCTAGGTCCCCCAGGGCTCCCCCCGCCCCCATGCCTCTCACAGGAAGTTCAATCTTTCCTCCTAGGCACAAAGGGGGTGAGGCTGGGTATGGAGGTGAGTGTGAAGCTAGCAAGCACCCAACAAACTTCAAAGCTATGATATGGTGGTTGTGAATTTTCCTCCTAGCTCAGACAAAACCAATCTTTCAGTCCAAACTCTCTCCCTCCTTTCAGACAAGACAAAAAAAAAAGTCAGGCCAGCATTCCAGGCAGCTGCCAGCTCTATTCCTAGTTACACTTTCAGATCTCTCCACAACCCAGCCACAAGAGTTATCAGAAAACCAGTTAGCAGTATAGGTCTGGAAATAATGTCACCCAAACATGCACGACAATGAGACGTGAACTTCCAAGTTTAGATATCACTAGTAAAGTTCCTTTACCCTCCGCAGCTTCCCAGAAATATGCATTTAAAGCACCACCCCCAATTCTAGCCTGGCCTACGTCTCAGAGAGCTACCGAGGGAGTGGGCACGACATGGGCAGGCCAGAGAGGACCAAAATGATGCCCAGGACAGATGCCTATTTATTTTACTGCTTTCCTCTATAAATTATTCAACTTTCCTCAGTCCAGGCCTGCAACCCAGGCAGTGGCCAGTTCATAATAAGAAGTAAACTCACAAACCCCCGACTCAAACCCAAACTGATTTTTTTTTGCAAAACCTGAAAATTTTCACCTAAGATACTGAAATGGTGTGGAATTTTCCAACATACTGCCAGATATAGGCAGACCTTGGAAATACTGCAGGTTGGGTTCCAAATCACCACAATAAAGCCAGCACCACAATAAAGCAAGTCATAATCTTTTTGCCTGGGATGGGGTGGAGAGTTAGGGGTTTGCCTTCAATTTGTAAAAAATACAACATCTCTCAAGTGCAACAAAACAGGTGTGCCTGTACTGGTAACTGGTTTGTTATTAATATCATCAATGAAATTAGAAAATTTTCATTAACATCACAGCCTCACCTGCTAGAAAACAAGTTTCTCTATTCCTGGAGCCAAATCTAGCTCTCTCTCACACATCCACCTGGCTTCTATTTCTCAATTTAGAAACAACACTGTTATAAGCCTTTGAAATCAAGAACCTGTTTCAAAGCAGGATTTCTCAACCTTGGTGCTACTGACATTTGGGCCAGATAATTTTTTGTTGTGGGGAGGGCTGTCCTGTGCATTGTAGGATGTTTAGCAACCATCCCTGACCTCGAATCACTTGATGCCAGTAGCACCCTCTCCCCAAGTAGTGACAACCCAAACCTGTCTCAGACGTTGCTAAATGTTCCCAGGAAGGTGCATGGGAGGAGATGAAAGAAGGCAGGGTTAGTCACTCCTGGCTGAGATGCAAAGATGCAAGCTTATACCTTCTTAAAAATAGCAGATGCCACAGACACTTAAGTTCTAAAGATTTGGGAACTGGATGCTGAGTTTTATGTCCATGCCCATCTGTGTATATGTGATTATCTATGTTTTAGAAACTGAGAAAAGCAGGCAGCTACCACAAGAATGGCCCCAATGTGATTATTTTTGGGGGGGAGGGGTGTATAATTATCCTCACTTTTCTCAAACCTTAAAGTAGGGTTTCTCAGCTTCAGCACTACTAACATCTGGGTCCAGGGAATTCTTGGTTGTGTGGGCTGCCCAGTGCATTGTAGGGTGTTGAGCAGCATCCCAGGCCTCCTCCCACTAGATACCAGTACCAACCCAAGTTGTGACAACCAAAATGTCTCCCAATATTGCCAATGTCCCCTGGAGGGTGGAAGTGGCCCTGGCTGAAAAGCACTGTTCTCGACAGGAAGATAAATGTCCACAAATCTTTTTATGTAAAAAGGGGAATATATTTACCCTTACGCCAGATAAGTGAGGCCAGTTGAGATGAACTGGTTTAAAGCATATTGTCGGTTCACACTGAGAGTTCAATAAATATTAATTATTACTTTTCAACAGACAACCCTATTCTGAGGGCATAGAAGAGGATGAAAGATAGTGTTCTTAAGATCGAGAAAAGAAACATACAGAAAATTGGACAAGGCCAGATGAACAATGGAGATGCTGGAGGACTGTGGAAACTATTGCAGAAGAGAATGGAACACAGCCAGGGTGATTCTTGAGAGCACAATTCAACATGGAATTGCTCTCAGATTAGGATACGACCATTGCTGCAATTCTTTGGGGCTGGGCCTCAGATAATAAATTGATGCAAACCACTAATTTACAGTGCATTGTATTTTCCAGGTTTCAAAGCACTTCTCACAGTTCTGAATGTAGGCATCCTGTTTCCCCCTGAGAGGAAAGGCTCTGGTGGCTGGCCTGAGAGGCCCAGCTAATTTGGGATGGGATGGACCACCAGCATGGGCCCTGGGGGTGGGCTAGGGAGGGCTTTCCAGGGACCTGTCTATGTGAGAAAACGAAGTAGCCCTGTAATTCTTCCAAGACCTATGGAGACATCAGTCCTGCAGGAGGAACTACACCAGGCCCAAGACAGTGAGCAGCTTCCCCAGGTACTCCCGTCAAGCACATGGGGGTCTGATGCCTGCTGAGCAGGGTCTAACCTAGAGCCAGGTCATATAATTTCATCCTTTTAGGGCAAAAGGCTGTACTCTCAACAACAATCCTAGAATCCCTCTATATCAGGGGTGGGGAACCTTTGTTCTGCCAAGGGCCATTTGGATCTTTATAACATCATTCACTTAATATAATTCACTTAATACAAATTTATGTTACTATGAAAAAACTCCTAGGTTTATTGAATTTCAAGTCCCGCCTGTGGGTTGCCTTGGCAGGGCCAGACCAAATGATTTGGCCAGAGGACCAGATGTTTCCTTCCCCTGCTCTAGATTAAATCTTTTCTCCTTGAGGGTTTAGCCGTCATCTGGGGTCTACAGACTGGCCACAAATGTCTTTAGCCCTAGACAACCACTAGGGTTGTGACTTTTCCCCTTAAGGGATAAGATACCAGCTGTGGCCTGGTCGGTACTCTGAGTGGTTAGAGAATCAACCCACACACTGAAGGGTCTCAGGGTCGATTCCTGGTCAAAGGTGTGTACCTGGGTTGCAGGTTTGATCCTCACTCCATTTGCAGCATGTATGAGAGGCAACCAATGGATGTGTCTCTCTCACATTGATGTTTCTCTCTCACGCTCTTTCCCTCCCTCCCTCCATTCCACTCTAAAAATCAATGGGAAAAAATATCCTTGGGTGAAGATTTAAAAAAAAAAAAAAAGATACCAGCTGTGTGTTACTAGAGAGTTGTTTCTCTTTCCTCCCAATGGATCTCTTCAAATCAGGAGTACAGTCAGGTTTGCCAGCAAGGCCTAAACAATTCCTCAGATTATCACTCATTCCTCCACGGAGTCTATCCACACAAACTGCACACCTACGGTTCATAACCTGGGATGCAGGGACCAACAGAATTCAGGGAATCTTAGGCTTCTTGCCCCAACTTTCTAAAAAACCCATATAATTGGTTACATGTAAAACACATATATTTTTGGATTCAGCATTCCATTTCTGGGAATTTATCCTATAAATCCAACCCTCTCTGTGAGCAAAGATATTGTCTATTCACCGTAGCAGAAAACTACTGGAAACAATCTAAACAACCATCAATTGAGGACTGATTAAATTAATTATGGTACACTTCATGGAATGGAATACCAGGAACCTACTAAAAAGACCCAAGAAGCTCTAGGGCAGTGGTTCTCAACCTTCCTAATACCGCGACCCTTTAATACAGTTTCTCATGTTTGGTGACCCCCAACCATAAAATTATTTTCGTTGCTACTTTGTAACTGTAATTTTGCTACTGTTATGAATCGTAATGTAAAATATCTGATATGCAGGATGTATTTTCATTGTTCGCGACCCACAGGTTGAGAACCGCCGCTCTAGGGGTTATGTTCTAGTGCAGTAACGCTGGGGCAGGGGGCAGCCCTGGGGCAGGGGGCAGCCCTGGGGCAGGGGGCAGCCGGGGTTCCCCAGGGGCAACTGGCAGGGACTGGAGACATTTGTGGATGTCCCGCCTGGGGGTGCTCCTGGCCTTGAGCCAGGGATGTTGCTCAATATCCCACAGTGTCCAAAATGCCCCCTCCCAACAGAGAGTGACCTGAGGTGGAGAATTCTGACACATTTAACAAAAAACTCAAACACAGGACTCTGTAGACTAGGAGTGGGGAACTTCCCGCCATGGGACAAATCATTTAATCTGGCCGCGCCAAGGCACCTGCAGGTAGGACTCGAAGTTCAACAAATCCAGGAGTTTTTTCATAACAACATAAATTTATTTTAAGTGAATTATATTAAGTGAATGATGTTATAAATATTCAAATGGGCCTTGGCGGAAAAAAGGTTCCCCGCCCCTGCTGTAGACCATGCTACACGACCTGTGTGCGTTTTTAAAGGAAAGGCGTACACGTATCTTTGAAAAGGGACGTAAGTCGTCGGTGACAGTCCTTGTCTTAGGGTAGATGGTCTGAATGCCTGACAGACTGGAGTGAGGAACTGACTTTTTACCCTTTCAACTTTGTACCGGGTCCATCCCAACGGGTTTCTGTTGTTGGTTTTAAAGAAATGATCTAGACACAAATGTTTCCTCTCCCTGGCAAGAGTCCTGTTTCTTCCCTTTGTCTTTCCCCGGTCCCTGCCCTTTTAGAGGGGAGGAAGGCGGGTGGGATCCACATCCCAGATCAACCTCGGGGGGCCTCTCTGCCCCACCCAGGGGTCCAGCCACCCTTCTCAAGGAGACTGGAGCCCACAAGGCGGGCAGGACCTGGGCCACCTCGCACGAAGACCCCAGCCTTCCTGGGCTCTCCCCACCCTGCGAGGAACACGCGCCAACACCGCCCCCTTGGTGTCCCCGGCCTCCTCCCGAACCAGAGCCGGGCCTAGCCTGGCCCCTCATTCCGGGAAGCCCGGATCCGGGAGCTCGCCCTCCGCTTACCTGGCTCGCCTTGTAGAACTGCTTCTTCAGCCCCGCCACCGACATTCTGCCTTCCGCCGTCGGACTTCCCGTTGGGACCCAGCGAACCGGAGAAACAGCGCAAGCGACAGGCTCCCGGGCGCCGCCGAGCCCCCGCGCGCTTCAGCTGGCCCCGTCGGCACCGCCTCCGCAGCCTTCTCGCCAGCTCCGCGCCCGCCCGGGCGCAGCCTCAGCCCCTCTCGCGCCCGCGCGGCCAGGATATTACATGGCAACCGCACACTTCCGGCGCCGGCCCGGTCTGAGCACGCGCACGCGCCCGGCCAGCCGGACAGCGCACGCGCACTTCGCCTGTCTCGGGAGCGACCGCTTCTGCCAGCGAGTGGCCTGGGGAGAGTCTAGAGCGGCCAGGGCGGCTGCAGCGACCCCTAGAAGCTGGGAGGTGGTTCTATCTAACACCTTGGGAAAGGCGCTTAAACCTTTCTGGAGAGGTTGGGAGACTGGGTTTATAAATCTCCAGCTAACTGTTTACTAATCTCAGCTATACCTAATTCCACCATGCGGGTCGTTTAGTCCATACCATCCTACCCAGAACCCTGCCCCGTGTTCATCCAATCAGTTGCCCAAGTCAGACATCAGGGTGTCGCTTCTATCTCCTTTCCACTATCCCCACTGTCCTCCGCCCTGACCAAACCATCTCACCAACTTCCGCTCTGTTGTGCCACCTGCGGGTTCTCCCCTCCAATTTATCCCCTATCAGGAGGCCAGAAAGATGCTTTTGTAACAGGATTCAGATCACGGTTCCCCGTTTAAAGCTCACCTGCCCTCAGAATACACTCCCAACTTCCTGCTATAGCCTACAAAGCTTGCATAATTTGGCCCCCTCCACCCTCTGATTTCGGGGGCTCTCTTCCTCTTCTGTAGTCCAGGATACCTGTTGCCTGTGGGCCTTTGCTAATGTTCCTATCTTTCACATTCTTCCCTAATATTTCCCCCATTGTTTTGTGTATAAAAGAGGAATTTGCTTGGAATATCGCCTCTTCCAGGAAGCCTTCCTGGATTCAACATGTTTATTGATAGTGACTTTTTTTTTAAACCTCACCTGAGGATATTTCTTTTTTCATTGCTTTTCAGAGAGAGAGAGTGCAAGGGAGGGAGGGTGAGAGAAAGAGAGAGAATATTGATGTGAAAGAGACACTTCGATTGGTTGCCTCCTGGGGGCAGGGAGCGAATTCCCAATCCAGGTACATGCCCTTGACCCAGTATCCTACCCGTGACCCTTCCATGCATGGGTGGATGCTCTAACCATTGGACACACTGTCCAGGGCATATTGATAATGACTTAAAATCAATTCTTTTTTTAAAAAAATATATTTTATTGATTTTTTACAGAGAGGAGAGGAAAGGGATAGAGAGTTAGAAACATCGATGAGAGAGAAACATCGATCAGCTGCCTCTTGCACGCCCCCTACTGGGATGTGCCCGCAACCAAGGTACATGCCCTTGACTGGAATCGAACCTGGGACCCTTGAGTCCGCAGGCCGACGCTCTATCCGCTGAGCCAAACCAGTTAGAGCTTAAAATCAATTCTCATTGATGAAAATGTATTGAGCCCTAGCCAGTTTGGCTCAGTAATTAGAGCATCTGCCTGCTGACTGAAGGGTCCTGGGTTCCATTCCTGTCAAGGGCAGGTACCTCGGTTGCAGGCTGGATCCCCAGCCCCTGTTGGGTGCATGTGTAAGGTAACCAACTGATGTGTCTCTCTCACATCCATGTTTCTCTCTCTCTCTGTCTCTCCCTCTCCCCTCTACTTCTCTCTAAAAATTAATGGAAAATAATCTTGTCAATCCTCGGGTGAGGATTAACAAAAATATTTAAATTTAAAACAGAAAATGTATTGAATAAGTTGGAAATTAATAATGAGTCAGAATGAGTAAATGAATCCAAAAAGAGGAACAAGAAAGTGACTAGAGCTAAAGTGCTTGCAGCTCCAGTGCTGAAATCTCTGACAGATTTGGGTAATTTTCTGCAGCAGAAGGTTACTGGAAGTTTCCAAATGCCTAAACAGAAGGTACTGGACTAGATTAGAGGATTGTTTCAGAGTGTGCAAGCCCCAACCTCCCTCCTGAAGATCCTGAAGGGGTTATTATGAATGGTTTGAAAGAACACCCAGGTGATTATGATGGGCAGCCTCAACGGTGACCCACTGGTCTAAATCATTGCATACTGCCAGAATATAATAAGCTATAATTGCTTTTAAAAAAAGTTGTTCTTGCTTCGGTAGCACATATACTAAAATTGGAACGATACAGAGATTAGCATGGCCCCTGCGCAAGGATGACACGCAAATTCTTGAAGCGTTCCATATTAAAAAAAAAAAAAAAGTTGTAGGCACTTCTTGTTGGGGTGCCAGTCTAAGATCTGAAAGTTGGGTGGAAATTAGCCAGGAAAAGAGCTGCGGGAAGAGTTTTCTAAGCAAGAAACAGCGTGTGCAAAAACCCTGAAGATTAAACCAGAAACATCTATTTCATTCATTCCCTCTGAATATGTTTAGTGCATATCAAATGCTGCCCAGACTTTATTTTATTTTTGTTCATATAAAAAGTAATTTATAATCTTTTTTAAATGTGTTTTTATTGATTTTTAGAGAGGAAGTGAGAGGGATAGAGTTAGAAAAATGGATGGGATAGGCTGCCTCCTGCACGCCCCCTACTGGGGATCGAGCCCGCAACCCCGGCATGTGCCCTGACTGGAATTGAACCACCGGGGGGCAGTGATTTTCAGACTTTATTGGTGTTGCTATATTCAGCCGATGTCCAAATAGAATAAACTCAAAACTTCAATCTTCACCTAAAATTGCAGTTTCAGGTTGTCACCTGCACCCTACGTAAAACGTTTCGTCATGACGTAAAGCCTTGGCCCTCCCTCTTCCTATGGACCAGTCCCACGCACTTAGCCAATCACAGTGTCGATCTCTTGGCTTGACACCTCCCACCCCCAATCGCAGAACACCTTCTTCCCACGGGCCGCCCAGAGAAAGCCCGCTTCTCCGCGGGAATATCAGTAGGGGAGCTATGGGAGGAATGGAAGCCACGGATCTCGCGAGGATACTTCCTGCGCTCCTCATTTCCCGAGGCGGGACCTCACGTGACGCCATCTTGTCCAATCGGCGCGCGGGCTGCGGGGGTCGCCGCGGTTCCCGCCAAATACGAGCGCGGCGGCCGCGGCAGCAGCGGCGCGGGCGGGAGGGCGAGCAGGAGCCGCCGCCGGAGCGTAGCCCGCGCCTCCGTCGCCCGAGGGGACCTCGAGCAGCTGCCGGGACGATGTTGGAGGAGCCGGAGTGCGGGGCTCCGGGCGCCAGGGGAGCGGCCGCAGGTCGGTTTGGGCCCGCGCGGCGGGGTAGTGGGGGCGCGGCGAGCGGCCCTTTTTGGGCCGATTCAGTGGTTGGGGACAGACGGGCCTCCCGGCCCCAGGCCGCTTCTTTGAGCCTGATGTTCGGCCGGTGGGGTCGTTACAATCCCGAGGAAGGGCCTTGCCATCCAAAGGGCGCTCTCCTTGAGGTTATTGTTGCGGCAGCGACCGTTTCCCCCCGTGTTTTTGCGTTAAGTTCACTCCTCCGGGGCCCTCTGCGGTGACGGGTCATTGTGGCCAGGAGGGGAAACTGAGACCCAGGGAGGCGAAAGGGCCAGCTCTGCAGGTGGCGTTTGTGTGCCCTGAGCAAGTTGGACCCTGCAGCCACCCTCTGGCCGGGTGGGGAAACTGAGGCCCGGGGTCACATGGGCTCGGAGACGGTAACAGTTGCGTCTGATGGTCAGGGCAGGTCTAGGGAAGGGGCCTGGGTGGTGGGGATTGTCAGGAGCTGGGACTCCCGCCTTCTCATCCTCCTGGATATACAAGGTGAAGACCTGTCTTGCTCCACCCAGTGTCTTGGTATGGGGGTTTCTAGTACCTGGCAGGCCCCGGAAACAGGGTGGTGAACCAAAGAAGACTAGCTTGCCCTCTCGCCAGCTTGACTCCTATTTTATCCCCAACTCTTGGCATAATGCTTGGCACATAGTAGGTGCCCGATATGTGTTGGTTGGCTGAATTAAGAATTGTTAGGGACATCAACTACTAGACTAATTCAGGGTTTCTCAACCTCAGCACTATTGACATTTGGGGCCCTGCTATGCCCTTGAGGGTGTCAAGCGGCATCCCTGGCCTCCACCCATTACATGCCAATAGCGACCCCTCCTCCCCAATTGTGACAACCAAATGTATTCAGGCATTGGGGGAGCGTGGGGGGGGGGGGGCAGAACCAATGCTCTAATTGTTTCCAAATTTGGGGATTTCACAAAGTAAAATTCATATAATTAAGTTGGGGGGACTGAGTGTCCTTGACAGTCATTTGACTCAGTAAGGTTGTTTAATTAAAAAGCAAAAAGAACGTCACCTGCTATGACCATACTATTATAAAAGGAAAGGATATTTTAACACCAAGTAGAATTAGAAGGGTTATATCAGAATAAAGAGCAGTGGTGAGTTTATACTTAAGTGTGTTAGCCTTTGAACAGTCTGGATTCCTGGGTGGGGTCGCTTTTTAGGTTGACCTGAGCTTGTTTCTGGACCCACATCACTTCTGTTCCACTTGCATCAAAGCTAGTGACTCAGGACCACACCAATAAATCCTTGTGATTGTCCTAAAAATAAATTTAAGTGGCTAAAGACGACGTATTCTTCACTTGGTGTGGGGGAGTGCGAATCCATGTTTTTGGTAACAGAAAACTGGAGAATGGTATTGTCTTGAAATGGGTAGAAAGGAAGTATGAGTCTTCTGGGTACCTTATATTTCAAGCTTGGGAGGAGGGAGGGCAAGTTTCATCTATGGACAGCTGAGTTTTTCAGAAAGCTGTGGTTGCTTTTAAAAAGTATTCACTTGTATGTATCTTTTACAAAACGTACATAGATTGCCCAAAATAATCTAGATTTTTCCAAACCAGACCTCCTGGCAGGTATGAGTTTCTAAATTTATATTTAAATATACTTATGGTCATTTTTTGCACCATTTTTAATATTATTAGATGCTTTTCTTGAGATTTTTTTGGGGGGATGCAGGTAAACTTTTCATTATTATTATTGGTTTTAGAGAGAGGGAGGGATAGAGAGAGATAAACATCGATGTAAGAGAGAAACATTAATCTGTTGCCTCCCGCACACACTCCAATTGGGGCTCGAACCTGCAACCTGTATATGTGCCTGACTGGGAATGAAACCCATCATCTTTCCGTGTACAGGATGACACTCCAACCAACTGAGCCACACTGGCCAGAGCTTCCTTTATTATTTTTTGACAGTGCTTCAGCTCCTGCCTGGCCAGCTCAAAATGCTTTAAGTTGTATTACCTTCATAAACTCTATTTATTTTTTAAAATATATTTTTATTGATTTCAGAGAGAAGGGAGGAGAGAGAAACACCAGTGATGAGAGATAATCATTGATCAGCTGCCTCCTGCTTGCTCCCTATTGAGGACTGAGACTGAGCAGGCAACCCAAACATGTGCCCTTGACCGGAATCGAACCCCGGACATTTCAGTCTGCAAGGCTGACGCTCTATCCACTGAGCCAAACCAGCGAGGGCCATAAACTCTATTTTAAAAGAAAATAAACCTTATTCTAATTTTATAGAACTGGTTGGATTGAAGGTGGATGTTTTGAGTTCCTATTAATGGTTACTTGGGTGATACAGTGTTTTATCTCTTCTTCTACTATTCTCCTCTTCATTGTTGCAGTTACTCTGTTCATTGGTTTCCCCCTGTGTGCCAGACCCTGAGTTAGGCCCTCCAGGTACAGTGTAGAACAAGTCTCCCTGCCATCCCAGAGCTGGCTTTCTGTAGGAAGAGACATGTTAAACAGTGTAAATTTCAGAGCGATTAATGCCACAAGGAAAATAAACCAAGAAGGTGTGACAGTGTACAGGCAGGATTTCTTAACTTATTAACATTTTGGGCCATTTAATTAGTTGTGGTGGGCCATACTGTGTATTGTAGGACATTCAGCAGTATCCCTCTCTTCTACCCACTAGATGCGAGTGGCAACCTTCCCCCAAGTCATGGCAACCAAAAGTGTCCCTAGACATTACCAGCTCCTCAGGGTGAGGGTGGCAAAGTCACTCCCACTGGGTAACCACTTTGTACATAGTAGATGCTACTTATGTGTTTACTTTCATTATTTCCAGCATTTAATAACATATCCTTTGACATTTTTATTCACAGTAATGGATTGCAAAGACAGACCAGCTTTTCCAGTCAAGAAGTTAATACAAGGTAACTTTCTGGGAATGGGTTAATATTTGTTCCTAATTTATATCCTTCATTGTCTCCCCAGTTATAGTTCTTCATTCTCTTGAGCAGAGGTCCTCTGTAGCAGTAGTATCACAGTTGCTGGTGGGGAGAAAAACAGTTGCACTTTACATTTGGAAGCCTGGGGATGCATTTTATTATACCTGTTTCCCTAGGTTCCCAGGAACAAATCAGAGGTCACTGCCTTTACAGCAGCCTTTCTTTACTTCCCCCCATTGACATTTTGTAATTTTTCAGGGGTGGGGGACTGTCCTGAATATTGTAGAGTTTAGCAGCATCCCTGATCTCTTCCCCCAAGTCGTGACAACCAGACATTGCTAGATGTTCCCTAGAGCAGCGGTCGCCAACCTTTTGGACCTCATGGACCACCAGTGATCCTCGGACCACCGGTTGGCGAGCGCTGCCCTAGAGGGCACAGCTGCCCCAGTTGAACCATTGTTGTACAGGAAGATAAATGTCCCCAAATCCTTTTGTGTAAAAAAAGGAGTGCATTTACACTGTGAATGAGAGAGAATATTGATGTGAAAGAGACACTTCGATTGGTTGCCTCCTGGGGGCAGGGAGCGAATTCCCAACCCAGGGAAGGCCAAATTAATGGCTGGATTGTATTAAAAACCATGGTTTCTGGTTTTTAAAATTTGGTATATAGTTTCCTCCTGTAACAATTTGCTTTCTCCTCTGACAACTGATAGCAAGTTTGGTGGTGGTAGGAATTGATTTAGGGTAATAGTCTCCTGAGGTTAAAAGATTAGGGGCAAACCATAGGACCCACGGGCATACTTGCTTTATAGACTGTTAAATTATGAAAAGACACACACACACACACACCAGGCCCCGCAAGGTTGGGTCATTTTGAGCATATGGAATGTTCAAGTATTGATCAGTTGTCACTCTGCACACTTTCGCTGTATGGATGGTCTCCTTCTGTCTTTTATTTCAGCTCGTCTGCCCTTCAAGCGCCTGAATCTTGCCCCAAAGGAGAAAACCGAGGACGGAGCGGACAGTACAGGAAGCTCTCCCAGTGCTCCTGCACAAAGTCAAGTACCCGATGTGGAAACCTCTTTGGACAACTTGGAGAACAATTTTCATATGGGTTCTGACATAGATTTTAGACCAAAACTTGTCAATGGGAAGGGTCCCTTAGATAACTTTTTAAAAAGTAGAGTCAAAACCAGTATTGGCGAGACCACAGTCATCATTGATTTGACAGAGGACTCAAGTGACCAACCAGACAACATTTCAGCCTACAATAAACTAAATTCTGCAGCCTGTCCCTCCTTGGAGGAGGCTGTAAATAGGGTCAGAGAAGAAGCTGGAGATGAGGGGGGGCTGCCAAAGGCTAGTCAGAAGGACGAGCTAACATTTTCTGAAGAGACCCTTTTAGACATTCCATGCAAAACAGAGGAGGAGGGTACTGGCTCAGGGGGCACAGAGAGGAGAGGAGACGCACAGGAAGCATCTCAGAGCTGCCCCAAGTTGACAGATGGTCCGAGAACGTGCTCAGAGAAGGACCAGGACAGTTGGAGCGAAGCTGGAGGCATCTTGTTCAAAGGGAAGGTGCCCGTGGTGCTCTTGCAGGATATCCTGAGTATAAAACCTGGAGCCAAGTCTCCAACCATCTCTCTGGACCGGGACACGCCCTCCCGGAGGGAAGTGCTAGAGTCTAGCCACGGAGAAGACTCTGTTCTCAGCCATTCCTCCCTGAGTTCTTCCTCTCCTACCAGCTCACCTGAAGGGCGGTGTGCTTCCGAAAATCAGCACAACAGTCCCAGTACCTTCCCCACCCTCACACCTGTCCGCAGAGTGAGTATCTCCCCAAATCCCAGCATGATAGTGCTGATGGTGTTTCTAATCCAGCCCCTTTTCATCCTCGGACACGATGCCCCTAGGTGGTGGTTAGAGGCTGAGTGAATGGGGCCACTAACTAGGTCTTGTAACTTCTGGTGCAGAATTTTGATCCTTTTCAATATCAAATACCATCAGAGGTATTCAGTGATGAGTACTGTACATTGGGTTGTGTTGGTGGCTGGGTTAATCACCAGTGTGTTGAGGCCATTTTGGTAGCTTTCGTTGTTCACACCTAGTTTGTAGTCCGGTCAATTTAGTCATTTTAGGAAATGATGGCAGTAAGTAGGCAACTAACTTCTCAGCTCCCTCCACTCCTTCCTGTTAGAACACAGACTTGTGGGGGTGGTAAAGAGTCAGTCAGTGTTGGTGAAGAGACCCCGAAAAAGCAAGAAGACTATTATGGGGAATTCCGTAGAGTCGACTCTAGTCAGCATGGCCACCAATCTCTTTTGTTGTTAATTCTCACCTGTGGATGTTTTTATGTTGATTTTTAGAGAGTGTGGGAGGGAAGGACAGAGAAACATTGATGTGAGAGAGACACATCGATTGGTTGCCTCTGCTCTCACCCTGACCAGGGCCCAGGATCCAGCCTACAACCGAGGTACATGCCCTTGACTGGAATCTAGCCCGGGACCCTTCAGTCCGTGGGCTGATGCTCTATCCACTGAGCCAAACCAGCTAGGGCATGGCCACCCATCTTAAAAACCTCACTCTAAGCAGCATAAACAAAAGGATTTTTAAGGATCACAGAAGGCTGACTTTGTTACCTGTGTCTGATCAGCACAATGGCAAATGTCACTGTTTTCAGCTGTCCTTAAGGTCTTGTAGATAAAACTGATAAAATCAGTTAAGAATCCCAAAGTGTGTCTAAAGATGTTTTGGGTTTTTTGTTTTGTTTTGTGGAACCTTAGTTTGTTCATCTTAGGTTGATATTGTTGTTTTTAATATATAAAGTTGGATCTGGGGTGGGTTATTTAATCTCTATTTGCTTAATTTGACTCTAAGCCACCAACCTTGATCACTTTCTGAAATTTGATCTCTAAGGCGGCGGTCGCTAACTGGTGGTCCGTGAGGTCTGAAAGGTTGGCGACCGCTGCTCTAAGGAACTCATTTTTCTAGATGATTCCATTTCTTGTTTTTCATCTCCTAAGTATAGGAGAAAATGGCTTCCTCTGTGGGTTCATAAAATATCATCTAAGTTTCTCAGTGTGGTAGATAATGCATTTTTAGTTTTTATTTTATTTTTTTAAAATATATTTCTATTGATTTTAGAGAGAGAGAGGGAGGGAGAAACATCGCTATGAGAGAAACATCGATTGGTTGCCTCCCGTACTCGCCCTAACCCAGGGATTAAACCTGCAATCTAGGTATGTGCCCTGACCAGAAATCGATCAGGACATTTGAATCGGCGACATATCAGTGCATAGGATGATGCTCAACAACTGAGCCACAGAGGCCTGAGCTGTTACTCAGACTCTCAGAATCAGAATTTGAGCCCTTCTTGCTGTCAGCCATATTGTTGGGTCCATCTAGTTGGTTGAAATCCTTTCAGACTGATGGTAATCCTTTATAGAACTACTTTATCATGTGATGTGTCACAGCCAGTTAGCCTGGAGAACAGGACATTACATTTTTCCATTCTTAATAGCTTTATTAAGTTAATGCTCATAGTCAAACCTGAGAATTGGGAAGTCACATAGTTGGTCATTGTCATGAAACAATGTTACTCTGTCCACTGGCCCAAATGGCTCTAAGACAGCTGAGCATGGGAACTAGGTGTGCTCAGTTTAGGAAGTCCTGCATCTGAGATGCTAAGTCTTACTTTGAGCAGAGGCTTGGGGTTTTGAAATGCTCTAGAAGGCATTATTATCACAGCTTTGCAAGTCATACACATTGCAAGTGGTAAGGGCTCAGGCTGTCCCAGAGCCTGAGGCAGAAAATTGGGCCATTCCATCACAAGAGTGGAAGTAGAGCCCCCTGATACTGGGTGACACCAAAGGCATGAAAGTGAAATGACTGGATTTCCTGATTTGCTTGTGCCTTTTGTGATTGGTACAGAACTTGAACAGCTTTCCCTGCCTTGGCATTTGAGATTTTCCTGATCCCTGTTACTGTGGGGAACACTTTGTTTTTCCATTTTCCTTTGCCACCTTCTTTCGAGAGTATAGCCAGACACTTGCTGGAAGCTTACAGATTGTTTCATATTACCATGTAATGTGTGGTTTTTACTGCTCTCTGTTAGTCCTGGAGTTGGTACCACTGTGTTTAGGAACTCCTAGGCATTCACTTGTCCCCTATTTTGTGTGTTGTTGTTTTGGTTTTATTTTTTGTTTGTTTTCTTGTGGGGAGCTTGTTAAAATGCAGGTCCTGCTGTCCCTTCCCAGGGATCTAGAGACTCTCACTTTGGAAAAGAGTAGTTTATAACACCTTTTATTACTAGCTTAAAGAGCTTTATTTAGCACTAGAGGCCTGGTGCATGAAATTCATGCACGGGCGGGGGGCTCCCCCCAGCCCAGCCTGCACCCTCTCCAATCCGGGTGTACACTCACATCCCTCTCACAATCCTAGACCTCTGGCTCCTAATCGCTCGCCTGCCTGCACGCCCCCAACTGCCCCCCCGCCGGCCTAGTCACCCCTCACTCTTCCCCCCTGCCAGCCTAATCGCCGCCAATCCCCTCCCCCTGGTTGCCCCACGCAGCCTGCTGTTCAGTCATTTGGTCGTCCCTCACTAACCCCCCTGCCGACCTGGTTGTAGGCAGCCATTTGTGAGGGTGTGAGGGTCAATTTGGATATTACCTATTTATTATATAGGATAGGATTAGAGCTTTTTACCACTTGTGGTAGAACTATTTCCCAAGTTTGTTTGCAATTAGATGTGCTAATTATTCCACAAATGATAATGTTGATACAGTTGTGTTTCTGGGATCTTTGCCTTGTCTCTACAAATGAGCCCTAGATCACTGAAACTTTTTCACGTATACTTTTAATTTTATAAGTATTAAATTCTCCATGTTTAAAAAGAATTATTAAAACATGACAGTCCCCTTCTTCTCCCCCAGGTTGTCATTATCATCTTGACAGTATCATTTTGTTTTCTTATGTGAGTGTACACTGTAAATTTGTTTCTTTTTCATTGGAGGGTGTCTCATTTTCTGTATTCGGATGGGAAGAGGTATCTTTCTTTAACTGCCTGTGGTGTGGATATACTGCACTTTACAAAGTCAGCCTGATGATGGATATTTCTGTTGTCTCTAATTCTCTGCCTGTGCAGAATGGTAATTGTAATGAACTTCCTTCTACATGGATCCTGGTGCTGTTCAGTAGGTTTGTGGGCTCCCATTGAATAATTTTTCTCCACTTACACTCAAATATGGCTGGACCAATTTGGGTTGTGTTGTTTCCCCTCTGCCTTCTCCTGCTGTTAAATTTTCAGCTGCTGCTGCTGAGCCCTCCTCACCTCATTCACTGCTTATCTGCTCTGAGCTTGGATATTTGATCTTCTTATGTATAAGGAGAGCAGAATAAACAGGATTCTCATGAATAAAATGTAGAAATTTTAATTCACAGGCACGGTTAAATCTGCTTTCACTGGAGGTAGTTGGTGTATGTTTCAGCCTCCTTCTGAGATCCTGGGTTTTATTTTTGGCAGTTATGTTCCAGAGAGATAAAACGTGTGGCCCATGATTTTGAGAGATAAAATTATATTAGACCAATAAGGTCCTCCCAGTTGTCTAGTAAAGATACTGGTTTTATATTAAATCATAATTGCTGAGGTTGTTGCATGTCATTACAGTGGCTCCTGATATTCATATTAATTCTAGTATTCCTGGACTCACAGCAAAGGGAAAGCAATGTAAAAGGCACTAGATTCTGCAGCTGAAATTCCACAAGTATGGGCAAAGATTCCAGTAACACAACTGTATCAACATTATCATTTGTGGACTAAGTGTGTTCCACCACCCATCACCACCCCCAAATACTCATATATGAGTCTGGCAATCACATCCATTATAATCTTTGAACACAAAATAAAGGACAATGACAGAGAAATATAGCAACTTACAAATTCTGCTGTTAAATCCTTTACTGTGGGGGTGAAGCCCACAGACTTGGCAGCTGAAGTGGATTCTGAGGGGGCAGGTGCTTTTTCTTAAGCCCTTGGTAGGCTTTGGTAACTGGCATTTCAGTTGGCACATGCTCACTTGGGCATAGTCTCTGTGGCATTTGAGCTCAGCCTTTTCCTATAGGAAGGCTGAGTTCAGAAAGAACTTGGTATGACAAGAAGGATGCCTTCTTAGTCTATTAATCTGTAAGTTTTATTCTGTCAGAGGTCTTAGTCGAGGCTGAGGCTTCCCTAGATAGAGAAATCATGCTTATATAGTTTTGTCAATATGTCAGGCTATCGTAAGATAAATGGACCTTTGGTTTTCCGGCTCCACTTCAGTCTTATGTTTTGGCTGCCTGTCCAAGTCTGAACTCTCTCCCCACTGCTCTTCAACCTAATGGTTTGGTTCTTAGCACTCCCTGCTCTGCAGAGAGCTTAGGCCAATAGTCTGAACTGTTCATATATTTTTTTTACAATATGTTTTTATTGATTTTTAGAGAGAGAGGAAGGGAGAGGGATAGAGAGATTAAAAAAAAAAAAGTCAATTGGTTGCCTCCTGCATGCACCCCTACTGAGGATTGAGCCCGCAACCCAGGCATGTGCCCTGACTGGGACACGACCTCTTGGTTCCTGGGTCAATGCTCAACCATTAAGCCATGCCAGCCAGGCATGTTCATATTTTAATCCGAGACCATTTGGCCAGCATGGTGCATGAATCCAACCATGTGTCTTAAGAAGTCCTTGTCACCACTCTCAGTTTGAAGCAGGGTGATAGAAAAAGTTATGCTCTAGAACAGCCGTGGGCAAACTACGGCCCTCGGGCCGGATTGAAATGAATAAAACTAAAAAAAAAAAAAAAGACCGTACCCTTTTATGTAATGATGTTTACTTTGAATTTATATTAGTTCACACAAACACTCCATCCATGCTTTTGTTCCGGCCCTCCGGTCCAGTTTAAGAACCCATTGTGGCCCTCGAGTCAAAAAGTTTGCCCACCCCTGCTCTAGAATATATATTTTTTAAAAATATATATTTTTTATTGATTTCAGAGAGGGAGAGATAGAAACATCAGTGATGAGAGAAAATCATTGATTGGCTGCGAGAGAGAGAAACATCGATCAGCTGCCTCCTGCACATCTCCCACTGGGGATGTGCCCACAACCCAGGCACATGCCCTTGACCGGAATCGAACCCGGGACCTTTCAGTCCGCAGGCCGATGCTCCATCCACTGAGCCAAACCGGTTTCGGCTAGAATATATATTTTTTAAAAATATATATTTTTTATTGATTTCAGAGAGGGAGAGATAGAAACATCAGTGATGAGAGAAAATCATTGATTGGCTGCTTCCTGCAGTCCTCCTACTGGGGATTGAGCCCACAACCCAGGCATGACCTCCTGCTTCATAGGTCCATGCTCAACCACTGAGCCACATTGGTCAAACTAGAACAGTGATGGCGAACCTTTTGAGCTCAGCGTGTCAGCATTTTGAAAAACCCTAACTTTGGTGCCGTGTCACATATAGAAATTGTTCGATATTTGCAACCATAGTAAAACAAAGACTTATATTTTTGATATTTATTTTATATATTTAAATGCCATTTAACAAAGAAAAATCAACCCAAAAAATGAGTTCACATGTCACCTCTGACACGCATGTCATAGGTTCGCCATCACTGGACTAGAACATAGGGATTCTTGATCAGATTGCCTCCTCTGGCAAGTTGACCTTTTTTCTTGAGCATTCACTCTGCATTCTAAAAACAGAACTGCACCGGGCAGAGAGAACAGATTGGTGGCCCACAGGAATCTAGCCTGTAAACATGTTTTATTTGATTCACGTAGTGTTCCTTTTTAGACAAAATTTACATAAAATTGACAATTCTCTCTCATAAATTACCAGTAAGAGCTCTATCCTCTTTGGATAGGGTATGTCCTCTCTAGTTAGCTACAAATCATACCACTCCCTGTCATCCACATTGCTTTTATTCTCAAGCTTGCCTTGTTTTTCTTGTGTTTGCCCCCCTCCCCTGCCCCCCGCAAACCTGTCATTCATTTGTGTCATCTGCCTCTCCCATTTTACCGCTCATCCCTAGATGCACATATGTGTACTTCACTGCAGTTTATGACCCCACTAAGATATTTTGGTTCTGTATGGTGAAAACTGGTCACCTGGAAATGTTTTCATTTTTCTTGTTTTGCAAATAAGTCCTTAATAGTGTGGGTCACTTGTTCCCTTCTTCCCTCTCCCCAAAGGACTGTGTAATGTGTTAAATGTGTTAAAGTGACCGAAACAGTCCACATTTAAAGATAAATGTCTTTCATTTCAGATAACTAAGAAATTGGTCAAAGGTTCTGTTGAGAAGAACAAGATGAGACTACAAAGAGTAAGACTTTTTCCCTGAAATAGAAAATTAACCTGCTGTGATTTTTGCATTAAATATAAGCTAAGCCCTTTGCCTTCCATCAGCCCAATTATTACCTCTCCTGGCTTATCCTGACCCTTGTAACTCTTGCTTCATTTTACATATCGGCTTGGTAGACTGAATCATTTTTAGCTTTGCTGATGCTTAAGGCTTTGCATGTAGCCTTTTCTAAACTTTTATTATTATCACTAGAGGCTCGGTGCACGAAATTCGTCCATAGGGGGTGGGTGTCCCTTAGCCCAGCCTGCACTCTCTCCAATCTGGGGCCCCTCAAAGGATGTCCAACTGGGATCGGGCCTAAACGAGGAGTCTGACATCCCTCTCACAATCCAGGACTGCTGGCTCCCAACTGCTCACCTGCCTGCCTGCCTGCCTGATAGCCCCTAACTGCTTCTGCCTGCCTGCCTGATCACCCCCTAACCACTCCCCTGCTAGCCTGATTGACACCTAACTGCTCCCCTGCCAGCCCAGTTGCCCCCAACGGCCCTCCCCTGCAGGCCCAGTCACCCCTAACTGCCCTCCCTTGCCAACCTGGTCGCCCCTAACTGCCCTTCCCTGCAGGCCTGGTCGCCCCCAACTGTCCTCCCCTGCAGGCCTGGTTCCCCCCAACTGCCCTCCCCTGCAGGGCTGGTACCCCCCACCCCAACTGCCCTCCCCCGCTAGCCATCTTGTGTCCACATGGGGGTGGCCATCTTGTGTGTTGGAATGATGGCCAATTTGCATATTACTCTTTTATTAGATAGGATAATAATAATTGTGTATCCTATTATAACTTAAAATAGTCTTCACAAGAACCTAGTCCCTTTCCTTGCATCCCAGCTCCTACAAATAGATTTAGGTTCCATTGCTTCCCCTACACTTGGTGGGTGATTACTACTTAGTGATCCACTTCTGAGTCATGGATTCTGTTATCTGGGGCTCTCCACATTTCACACACATCGGTGCAGGGGCCTTCTTTCTTATTGCCATGAAGAACAGAGAAGGCCATTGGGTTTCTCCCTCCCATGCCAGCTCACGGAATGGGCACTGATTAATGACATTTGGCTGTCTATTCACCAGGTGCTTTGTGTGCTGTCCATCTTATGGCTGTGTTCGATTTTTGTAGGTCCAATTTTGATGGCTTCTTTAGAGTGTATCTCATTCTCCATTGGGATACCAGAGAAGGCCACATGTGGGTGGGAGTGGAGATGGGACTCAAATATGGCTAAAGAGACCTGATTTATCTGATTGACCCGTGACTTACAGAGCCCTCTGTCTTCTTACAGAGCAGAGTAGAGCTGCTAGACTCATTATTAGATCCAGACCAGGCACCTTTTTAAGTATCCTATGTGTCAGGTGAAGGTGCTGCGGATACTCTGAGAATTGAACATTCAAACATCTTTTTTTTAATTGTTACTTTATTGTTGAAAGTCATATAGATATCCCGTGGCTTTTATTAAAGCAACCAAAGGGTTATCAGGACAGAAGGTAGAATATTCTCTAGAGACAAGGCATAATCATACACCCAGACTGACAGAGGAGCTGTCAGGCTCCTCACCTTGGGAAGACCATCTTTGGTGGTAATGTAATGGTCCTTAAAAGTTACCCTGTGCTGTGTTAGAAGCTAACTGCTCTTCTGGTCATGAATTCAAGATTCGTTAATAACTCAGTGCCTCGGGCCGCATGCCAGTTCTTTGGAATGAGGGACTGATGTGCTAAAACAAGGCATTACCGCTTTAACAAGTATCAAAGACATTAGCTGCTTTCTCCTTAGTAATACAAATTACTCGTCCTTTCTTCACATCTACCTTTCTTTTCAGATCCTGAGAAATTGTTTTAAAGATTAAAAATAATACTTGTTTCTTTGCTTTTATTTTTTATGGTTATCATCTATTCTCAACTGTTTTAAGACTTTACCCATTAGGTTCCCTATCCTTGCCTCATCCAATCTTCCATTTTAAAGAAAATAAAATAAACCCTGTCATCTGGTATGAATTTGGGGGTATGGAAAGAAAAATGCTTTTGTGCCTGGCCTGTGTAGCCCAATGGTTGAACCTTGACCTTTGTACCAGGAGGTCACGGTTCGATTGCCGTTAGGGCACATGCCCGGGTTGTGGGCTTGATTCCCATTGGGGGGCATGCAAGAGGCAGCCAATCAAAGATTCTCTCTCATTATTGATGTTTCTCTCTCATCGATGTTTCTATCTCTCCCTCTCCTTTCCTCTCTCTCTCAAAATCAATAAAAACATACTAATAAAAAGAAAGAAAAGAAAAATGCTTTTGTTTTAAAGGCAGGGATGTGAAATCTATAGGTGTTTCTGTCTTTATCTTAGCACAGATTTTATTAATTTAAGGGGGGGAGTGAGAAAGAGAAACATCGATTTGTAGTTCCACTTATTTATGTATTCATTGGTTGATTCTTATATGTGCCCTGACCCCACATTGAACCCACAACCTTGGTGCATTGGGAAGATGCTCTAACCCAGCGGTTGCCAACCATTCGGACCTCGCGGACCACCAGTTGGTGACCGCTGCTCTAACCAACTGAGCTCCCCAGCCAGGGCTTTCCCACAGATTTCTGATTAAATAAAAGCAGCTCAAATGAATAGCGGGCATCCTGCATAGGCAGCCCAGGGGTACTTATTTAATCTTTTTTAATTAAGTAAAATTCCAGCCAGGAATCGAATTGTGACTTCCTGGTTCAACCACTGAGCCATGCAGGCCAGGCAAGAAAGTATTTTAGTCCTAGCTGGTTTTAGCTCAGCGGATAGAGCGTCAGCCTGTGGACAGAAGGGTCCCAAGTTCAATTCCAGTCAAGGGCACATGCCCAGGTTGTGGGCTTGATTCCCACGGGGGGGGCATGCAAGAGGCAGCCAATCAAAGATTCTCTCTCATCATTGATGTTTCTATTTCTCCCTTTCTCTTCCTCTCTGAAATCAATAAAAATATTTAAATAAAATACTTTATTTTTGAGGGTATGTATTTTTTTTAATATATTTTTATTGATTTCAGAGAGGAAGGGAAAGGGAGAGAGAGATAGAAACATCAATGATGAGAGAAAATCATTGATTGACACGCCTTCCACTGGGAATTGAACCCAGGACCCCTCAGTCCGTAGGCCGACGCTCTTATTTACTGAGCCAAACTGGCTAGGACAAGAAACTATTTTAAATGAATCTTATTTTGAATGGCCCACAAGGTCCTGTGACAATAGCTAATTCTTACAACGGAAGGAAATGTGATGGAAAAATCACTTCCATGTATGGATGTTAACCATCAAGCTTCTTCTAGAGCTGGTTCCTTCATTCTTCCCTCCCTCCCCCCCCCCTTTTTTTTAATTCTTTATTGATTTCAGAGCGGAAGAGAGGTGGGGAGTTATAGAAATATCAATTATGGCCCTAGATGGTTTGGCTCTGGATAGAGCACCGGCCTTCGGACTGAAGGGTCCCGGGTTCAATTCTGGTCAAGGGCATGTATCTCAGTTGTAGGCTTCTCCTCGGCCCAGGCCCTGGTCAGGGAGTGTGCAGGAGGCAACCAATCGATGTGTTTCTCTCACATCGATATTCCTCTCTGTCTTTCCCTCTCTCTTCCACTCTCTAAAAATCAGTAGAAAAATATCCTAAGGTGAGGATTAAAAAGAAAGAAAGAAAGAAACATCAGTGATGAGAATCATTGATCGGCTGCCTCCTGCACGTCCCACACTGGGGATCGAGCCCACAACGTGGGCATGTGCCCTGACCAAGAATCGAACCGCTACCTCCTGGTTCATAGGTCGACACTCAACCACTAAGCCACGCCAGCTGGGCCATTCTTTCCCTTTCTGTTTGAACATATTGTCCCCATGATGCTGACCTGACCCTTCCCGGGAGGTCTGCAGGGACACAGCTGTCCAATTGTCTCTTGACTGCAGGATAAGGAGCGTTTGGGCAAGCAGCTGAAGTTACAGGCCGAAAAAGAGGAAAAGGAGAAGCTAAAAGAGGAGGCCAAGCGTGCCAAGGAAGAAGCCAGGAGGAGGAGAGAGGAAGAGAAAGAGCTGAAGGAGAAGGAGAGGCGCGAAAAAAGGGAGAAGGAAGAAAAGGAGAAGGCGGAGAAGCAGCGACTCAAGGAGGAGCGGCGTAAGGAGCGGCAGGAGGCCCTGGAGTGAGTGTCCTCCCAGGGCGGCCTGGGCATTCAAGGGCCAGGCTGCTGCCCCTTCCCTCCTTTTCTGTATCTTCCCTGAGGAAGGGATACAAAAAGCCTCTGCCCTGGTACCCTCTTCCCCTCTCCTGCCTCTGTCTTCCAGGGACACTGTGCAGACCCTAACTGACCTGTGGGTTCTTGTCCAGGAACACAGGCTTTGTTTGTGTGCTTGGGGCACTGGTTGGCTAAAACTGAATTTCATGTCCCATAGGGCTAAGCTGGAGGAGAAGAGGAAAAAGGAAGAGGAGAAACGGCTGAGAGAGGAAGAAAAGGTAGGCATCCTCCCCAGAACCTCCATGTTCTATTCTGTTTGAGAAATGGATCCTGGAATCCTCATAAGCAGGGTTTTTGCCTATTGCTGCCCAGTGTTCCCTAGGTCATGAGAAGCCCAGTGGCCCCACAGGGACTGGCATGTGTGTGTTCATATGTTTTCTTTGATTGTGGTCATGCTGGCCTATAACATGCCTGCTGGCTGGACACCCAGGCCCTTCTGTCTACAAGAGCACCTCTGACACTTTGAGATTGCTTGGTACCCAGTTGAGAGTTGATAGGTTTTGAAAGCTATCATCAAAGTAATGCTTTCAACTTAAAAATGTTCAGGGTTTGCCCTGGCTGGTATAGCTAAGCAGTTAGAACATCGGCCTGAGCACCAAAGGGTTGCGGGTTCATTTCCTAGTCAAGGGCACATAACTGGGTTGCAGGTTAGATATCTGGCTCCAGTTGGGGGGCATGTAGGAGGCACCCAATCAATGTGTCTCTCACATCAGTGTTTCTCCCTCTCCGTCTCCCTCTCGTCCCCTCCTCCCCCTCCCTTCTACACTCTCTAAAAAGCAATGGAAAAAATATCCTCTGGTGAGGATTTAAAAAACCACAAGGTTGGGGTTTAGTTCTAGGGGACTTAGCGTTTTTGAAAACACACCATTTTTATTTCTTCATCTTCTATTATATTGCAGCGCATTAAAGCAGAGAAAGCCGAAATCACGAGGTTCTTCCAGAAACCAAAGACTCCACAGACCCCCAAGGTGAGCAGCAGCTTTATTTAGCCTTGCTTTTCATCTCTGTCAGGCTCTTCCTTTGGAAAAATAAAAAGCTGTTTTCTGAGCAGAGGGGCCTCCGCTTGCACAGGGAGCTTCTATTTCTGGTAGGGCCTGGAGATTCTCGTATGTCCTTGAAAAAGCAAAAAGTGGCACATTTGCTAATAAGACTGTCGCATGTTTAGGGATCGCTTCATGAAAAATTTTGTGTGAGTCGCTCTATGGGGCAGGTAAAGAGAAGACCTAGTCCTTACCGTCTGGACTTTATGCACAAGATGGGAAGCAAGGTTAAGCATAAGACAAGAGCCCAGCCCGTGACCGGTTTGGCTCAATGGATAGAAGCGTCCGCCTGCGGA